TGAGAACCCAGGAAGTTGTTAGAGGCCAGGTGACACCTTTGCCCGGGAAACTGAACAAAGACTGGGGAGAGAGTTGGGAGCTGGCTGGTGGAATGGCTGGGAGGCAAACAGGGCTCTGAACTCCCATGGGTGATGTGGGGCCCTGGGACCCCAAGATGGACCTAACTGGGGGGGATCCTGTTGTCTGTGCCTGCAAGACCTGTCTTGGACTGTGTTCCTGTCGTCTAAATAAACCTTCTGCTTTACTGGCTGGCTGAGAGTCATGGTGAATCGCAGGAAGCCGGGGGTGCAGGGCCTTGTGTCCCCCCACACTCTGTGACACAGTGCTTCCCTGCTCCCAGAATTCTGTGCGGTTCTCTGTTCTCCGTTCTGTATGCTAATGAGACGAATCCCTGTCCCACCTTTCATGCAGATGAGGCTGGGGGAGTTGTCTCTGCTCTCCATTCTGTATGCTAATGGAGATGTCTTCATCTTGTCACCCTTGTCAGAAGGGTCTAGGTGTTGCTCCCAATGCCCTTCACTGCTCTCTGCAAGTCTTTTCTCTGGTCGGTCTTGGTTCAAGCGAGGGGGTGTCTTTCATGAGTGAGACAGGCTAGATACTGCGCCCTGGTTCCCCTAGAACACAAAGCTGACTGGTAGCACCCGGGACACCAGAGCCCCAGAGACAGGGCTGGGTTAAGACCAAATGCCCAAGGGGTCACCCCCTGCTCCAACCTGGGGGTCAGGGCAGCCCAGGCTGCAGCCAAGATGGCCGACACGGGGGCGGGGTGCTGCCCTCGCTCCCTGGCAGATGAGGGGGAGGAGGCAGTGGCCGGACCCAGCCCAGTACCAAACCTAATGGCTTTGTGCGGGGGGGGCAAACGGGCACAGGCCTCATGACGGCTCCTCATGTGCCCCGTGAGTGCGAGCGAGCGACCAGCCCGGCCCAAGGGCAGACGGGACCCGGCGCCGTGCTGCGGATTGGATACAGGACATTTAATTGAATAACAATGGGGCTGTGAGACCTGATTAAGGACACAACAGCTCCTGCTGCTGGCTGGGTTAGACTAGGTGACCCTTCTAACCCTGTGGTTCTGGGATTCTAACTCTTGGAAGTGCCAGGCAGGAAGCTACCAAGGGGATGCGAAAGATGCGGTGGCACCTGTGGATAACATTTGTGGGTTCGAACTTCCCCAGGTCACTGGTTAGAGTGACCCTGCTCAGTTTGGTCTGGAAGGGGGAAGAGATGTGACAAAGTGGGAATATTCTGTAATATTTTTATGGGGCCTGTTTGTGCCTCAGTTTCCCCTAAGATGCATTGTTACTCAGTGAGTGGGAAAGGCCTGTTTGCTCTCAGGGCAGGGTAAGACACATGGGCCTGGGTGTCACCTAGCTGTCTGAGTGTTGGTCTCCATGGCCTTGAAAAGACAACCATCAATCCAGTTGCTCAGACATTGACACCCGCGGGATTTGGATCTCCCCACCGTGACGGGGGAGGTGTGAGGCGGGGATAAGAGCTGCTGCTGGCTCTCACCCGGAGTCAGACGAGAGACAGACAGAGTTTGCACCACGTGTTCTCCAAGTCCACTGCAGGCAGGACAAGCAGTACCGGGCCTGCTCGACTGCAGGGGAGATTGAGGAGAACATTAGGGAAAGTTTCTAACTCTCAGGGTAGCTACACTTTGGAGCAGGCTCCAAGGGAGGTGGTGGGATCCTGTCATTGGAGGTTTTAAGACCAGGTTGGACAAACCCGTCAGGGCTGGTCTAAGGTCACTTGGTGCTGCCCCAGCGCAGGGAGGGAACTGGATGACCTCCCAGCCCCACATTTCTATGTATATCTCCCCACCCTCCGGAGACAGGAGGGGGGTTTAGTAGCTGGTAGGGTGACCAGACAGCAAGTGTGAAAAATTGGGACTGGGGTGGGGGGTAATAAGAGCCTATGTAAGAAAAAGACCCACAATCGGGACATCTGGTCCCCCCCAGCCGCTGGTGTCGCCCACCCCTCTGCTCCGTGTGCAGATCTGGCTTCGCTGTGTTGGCTTACGATGCTCCATGGACGAGCTGACAGCCAGACGGGTGAATTGACTTCCCTGGTCTGCCTCAAAACCGGTTTGTCACCCTGCCCGGTTCAGACGGTAACACGTGTCTCCCG